AAACCAAGCAAAAGCAAGTACATTAAATAAAATAACTTCAATATTAACAAAAAAATACAACACTTGAGCCAGCAGCTACTGAAAGTCTAGAAAAATTACTAATTTAAGCAAAGACAAAAAGGTATAAAATCATAACTAAGTCTAAAACTATTCCATTTGAAACCAGTTCAATCCAGATATCTTCAACAAAACACTTCAAGTGCAACAATATGAAGAACAGAAACAGCTTATTTACATCTAATCAAACATTTTGTGTTTAAAGTTTGACTAAAGCTCAATATATTCCAGATGGACACAGAGCTGCACTAAAAAGGTGTAATTAATAAAAAAATATATATATTTTTACAGAGGCATAAACACACATTAACAGCATGTTTTACACTTTAACGTGTGTTTTTTCAGAGCAAAACTAAAAGGTAGCAGCAGGTTTCCTGACAGGTGAACACAGGTGTTTTTAATTAGTGTTTTTAATTAATTTCATTTAATTTAACTTAACCAGGCCCTGCACAAACATGGCTCAGTGTTAGCTTTATAWAGCTACCACCAGCAGCTCGTCACATAACGTTCATGGCGACACATTCAGCAGCTTACCTTTACGAAGGGCGGCGGGTCCAAGATGTCAGGAAAAATAAAAATAAAAAAAACTTGACGAGCAGCACCTGTGTGGCCCACAGCTGATGTTACGCTGATAAAAGCAGCAACTTTGTCAAAAAATATCGCTTTTCTGTAGCTAAAATGCATCTGGAGCCTTTATAAACGCGTTCACCGAGGAGGTGTCCTAAAAGAATAATCTTCACCTTAATGTTTACATCGGTTTTCAGCAGACAGGTGTGGCGCATGCGCAGAAGCCGCGGCTACTTCCATTAAAGGAGCATTTCAAACATTTGACGCGGAGGTCACAGTGGAAGTTCTCAGAAACCCAATGTATCACTACAWGTGTTGGGGCCACACAACGAGATTTTTTTTAAATTATGAGAARAAAGTCATAATATTATGAGAAAAAAGTCATATTGTAGCCTTTACAAGAAAAAGCATGCAGTTACACTGCATTAAAATGAGAAATGTTCAGCAACTTGTCAAGTTGTTCTTCAGTATTGCTATAAATAAATAATCTTTTGGCACATTATCATCAAARTATCAGTAGCAGGACTTGGATATTGCGCAAACTACTATAAACTGAAGCCYTATTGTAATTAATGGATGCATSAACGGATTTGGTCATCACGTAGTCTGGTTAATTTGGARGAAAGTCCATTACACAACAGTGACCCCCGGGTCATCATGGACTACTTTCTGAACAGACACATGGCTGTACACAGCAGGTGTGGGTAAAATAAGGAAGAGGAAATAGACACGTCATGATTATGACTTTTTTCTCGTAATATTACGACTTTAATCT